CCTTCCCCCGCCTCCCCAATCTCGTCCAACTCCTCCTCCTCACCTTCCTTCCCTCCTCCTCCTCCTCCCCTCGAACTTCTTGTCCTCTCCCTCTCTTCCCTCTTTCCCCTCCTCCGCTTCCCTCTCTCCCTCTCCCTCGCTCTCTCCTCCTCCTCCGTCTTCTCCTCCTGAAGGTCTGGCAGCGCGCAGAAGAGGACTGGACGTCCAACATGCAGTGGCTCCTCGGGGGACGAACTCGTGCAGCAGTCGAAGCCTTCAGAGTGAAAGTGAGCAGCGGAAGATGGGGAGACGATCCGAAGGGAGAGGAGGGAGGAGAGGAGCCGGCAAGGGGGAGAGATGAAGGCGGGAAGGAGGAGGAGGAAGGTCATCGGAAGGAGGGGGAGGAAGAGGAGGGAAAGGAGAATGGAAGGGATGAAGAGGAAAGAGCGGGAAGGGATGGAGATGAAGGAGACAGAGAGCAAAGAATGAGTGGAGGAGGAATGCAAAACAACGTAAAGGAGAGCCAGGAAGATGACGAAACAAACGAAGAAGAGAAGAGAGTTGAAGTCGTGAACAAGTTTCTTGAGATGGAAGGAGCAGGAGCAGGAGCAGGAGCAGGAGCAGGAGCAGGAGCAGGAGCAGGAGCAGGAGGAGAGACTGGAAGGAGGAGGTTCTCGCAGGAAGAAGCAGTAAGGAAGAGAAGGGAGATGCAGGATCTGATCGCAAAGATTGGCAACGAGCTCGAGGACGCGCAGAAGGGTGGTTGGAAGCTCGAGAGCGGGAGGAGAAGAGTTCGGCCTGAGTCAGCTCCCAAGCACGTCAAGGCTCCTTCCTCCTCCTCTCCTCCCTCTGCCTCCCTCAAGCCCCTCAAGACAAGACCCATCAGCGCGTTCGAGGTTCCGAGGAGGGCCAAGATGCCGCTAGATGGCAGAGCAGGAGCAGGAGCAGGAGCAGGAGCAGGAGCAGGAGGAAAGATGCCGGCGCTTCCTCCGAGTGCAAGGAGGGTCTTGACGGAGCCTGGGAGGGTGACGCCAGGAGGGGGCCGGGTGTGGGCATGGGAGGAGACGTCGGAGCTGGACAAGTTCGGGCTGGAGCTGAAAACTCTCCCGGCACCCCAGAGAGCAGGAGGAAAGCTCGTCCTCGCCACACACAACACGAGGCTGACCGTGCGAGAACTCATCGGTGAGTGAGAGGAGCAGCAGCAGGAGCAGCAGCAGCAGCAGCAGCAGCAGCAGCAGCAGGAGCAGGAGGGAAGGAGGAATATGCTGAAGAGGAGCAGGGAAGGACAAGCTGGATGTCGAGGAGGGCTGGAGAGGAGGAGAGAGCGATGGAGAGAAAGAGGATCAAAGGGAGGAGCAGGAGCAGGAGCAGGAGCAGGAGCAGGAGAGAGTGGGAAGGAGCAAGCGATGTTGTCTGACGGCGGCACAGATAAGAGTCTCCTTCAGAAGGGGCTGGAGACTCCACGAGCTCTGAAGCTTCTCGACGATCCCTGGCTGCCGTTCAGCACGCGGCTGCAAACAGCAGCAGGGAGAAAGGGGACCAAGAGGAAGTGAAGAACAAGGTGAAGTTTGAGCCAGCAGATATGAGGGAGGAGGAGGAGCAGGAGCAGGAGGAGGAGGAGGAGGAGGAGGGTATGGAAAGAAAGTTGGGACTTTATCTCTTCTTACAAGGATTCTGCTCCTCCTACGCGTCCTCCTCTCCTCCCTCAAGGATGGGCGACAGGATATAGCTCCTCGACATGTCCGAGAGCTGAGCCACGTGGCTGTCTTCTAAGTTGAAGTCCAGGGTTTCACAGACTGAGGAGGGGCTCCTGTCGCTCGAATGCTTCATCCACCCCTCCAGCTTCCATCCCTGAGGCACCTCCACCGCCTGCTCCCTCCCCCCAGCCTGCTCGCTCCTCCCCCTCCTCTCCCTCCCGCAAGGGCTCGCGCACTGGAGGAACGCATCGCTCGCATGCACGCAGTTGGTGCCTGACGTCTGCTCCAGCAGCTCGCACGTCTCCATCCCCTTCCCCATCACGTGGAACCTCGACTGCACCCTCCCCAGCACCCCCGCCACCACGACCCCCAGGCAGAGGCCGATGCGGCAGTTCAGATCCACCTCCTCCTCCTCGCGGAAGCGCTGGAGAGACAGGATCATGTGGCGAGCCAGCGACAACATCTCCCTGCACTTTCTGTGTGTGCTTTCAGCCGTAACCCAGTCCTGCTCGCAGGGCAGCCAGCCCGTGACGATGTACGCGTCCCCACCGTGTCCATCTTGAAGAGCTGCAGCTGCTTCACCCGCTCGTCGAACTGCGAGAAGACCTTGTGGATCATTTTCGCCACGTCGATCGCCTTCATGGTCTGCGACATCCTGGTGAAGCTGCAGATGTCGAGCTGAAGGATGACTGCCGTCTGTAGGTTGCTCTGGATCGTCAGCGGAGAGTGTATCATCTTCTGCACGATCTTCCCCGGCAGCAAGTCCAGCAGGATCTCTTGCAGGTTCTTCAGCTCTGACATCCTCGACCTCCCCGCGAACCAGTTGAGCCTCTCGTGCACTTCCAGCCTGTAGGAGAGGAAGAGCCCCGACAGAAGCACCAGCGCTAGCTGCACAAGGCAGACGTCCCCTGCTCCTGCTCCTGCTCTTGCTCCTGCTCTTGCTCCTGCTCCTGCTCCTGCTCCTGCTCCTGCTCCTGCTCCTGCTCCCCATGGAATTTGCTGCCAGCGGCAGAGGACGACGAGACGAGAAGCGAGGACGAAGACTGTGAGCTTCAGGACCTGGCGGAAGTCGATCCCGGAGGAGATGGAGTGGAACACAAGGTAGACGGCCACAGACAAGAGCATGCGATCGTAGCGGCTGTCGAGCATGCAGAGGGCGGTAGAGAGGAGGAGGAAGAAGACCTTGAGAACGAAGAGACCCTCCTTCACTCTCCCTGCCTTCTGCTCCCTGCACGCTAGACGGAGGAGGAGCCCCACCGAGAGGAGGGAGCCGAGGAAGTGGAAGAGGGCGAGCACGAGCACGACCCTCTCCTCCTCCCAAGAGCTCTGCCGCACGATGAAGTGGAAGTGACAGACGACGGCGCAGAGGTGGACAACAAGGGCAGCCATGAGTGCTATTCTCTTGCTGCTCGCGCTCTCTTCCTGAAAGCTCTCCTCAAGCTTCCCGTCCTTGAACTGCGTCAGGGGGTTCAGGCACGCCCTGGTCCTCCTGCTGAAGGAGGAGGATGAGCTGCAGCAGTGGCTCCACGATATCTCCGAGTCCTCCAGCTTCAAGTTCTGGTTGCAGAATCTGTTGAGCTTGCACACGCCCCCATGGGAGAAGGACTGAAACACGTCGTACGCCTCCACCTTGAACACTTCCATCTTCCCCTTCCCCTTGATGTCCATGTGGCCCTTGTACATGCAGGAGCAGAGCTTGTCCTCGCAGCCCTCCATCACCTCAGCGAACTCACGCGTGCATAGAACCTCGTTCGGCTCCGCATACTTGCACATCCTTGCCGCCGTGTTAGCCGTGTCCCCGTAGACGCAGTAGAAGGCCCGGTGTTGCCCGATCACAGCTCCTGCGATAGCGCCATGGTTGATTCCCACCTTGAGCTGCAAGCTGACCCCCTCTACCGTGTAGTAGTGCGCCAGCTCCCGCAGCTCGTTGGCCAGGCGGATCATCTGCACAGCGTACGACTGCGGGTACGGCTTTCCCTGCTCTGCCTCGTCGAAGGGCCTGGCGGCCCTGGGGCAGGTGATGATGTACCAGTCGCCGACATGCTGGTACTTGTACATGCCATAATGGTCGACGACGTCGTCGAACATCTCGAAGACCTCGTTCAGCAGCTTGAACGTCTTGGTGGTGGATCGAGCTTTCAGGTACCTCTGCGGCTCCAGCGAGCAGAACATGATGGTGCATGCGGGGAGAGAGACGCCGAGGAAGTCATTGATAGGACAAGTCTCCATCTTCTGCAAGACGTTCTCAGGGATCAGCGTGTAGATCAGACTCCTGCTCTGCTTGATGGCTACCAGCGACTGCCTCGAAACCAAGAACTGCTGCCACTCCCGCGTGTTGAGGAGCGAGCCAGAGAGCGTCGAGGCTGCTGCAATGATGTTCTGGACGATGGATACGACCACCAATCTCGAGGACAAGATGCCAAGGAGGGAAGAAACAGTCAGCAGCAGGACAGTGTTCACTCCGTTGAGAAGCATCGTCGTCCTTACCCGGAGCTGAAAGAATCGGGGGAGCAGAGGGGCAAGCATGAACAGCGCAATACAATCTCCTCCCATGAAGAGGGTCGAGCAAGTCGTGCGGTAACGGCAAGCGCCCTCTGAACATATTTCGTCCAGCTTCTGCGTGTGACATCCCGGAAACGAAGCAGTTTGCTGGTTCTGTGAATCTAGCACAGCGACATTCTGTTGAAGGAACCACAACTTGGACTTGTGCATCTCCAGCCTGGAGTAGAAGAGAACAATACAAACATACAAGGATAGAATATACATGGACAGAACAATCTCATACTGTCGCTGCAAGTACTTCCTGATGGCCGACGATAGAGACAATCCGATCACAAGCAAGGACAACAAGCTGACAATGAGGTAGGCCACTGACTTTGCCCGATCTAAAACCCTCTCCTGGTCATCAGGGAGCGGGAGCTGGTCGTAGAAGGACGCCATGACGACATGAAACGTGATGATGAGCATGAAATGAGCTGTGCGATTGTTGAACTTCAATTCCCAGAAGTCACAGCGAACATTGTCATGCATGGAAGAATCCGACTTGACGTCCCACGTATCATGACTCAGCAACTCGTTCATTACAGTGTGCATCCTGATCTTGCTGAACTGGTCCAGACAGGCAGCAGCTTTTAGAACCACTCGCGACACTGCTGCATAAAGATCCACGATCGCCCTTGCCCAGAAAGCTTTCGCCATGCCGAAAGAAGGGGGGAAGGTGTCCTCCTTCTCTCAAGATATTTGGGGATTGCAGTTCAGTCTTGATCACAAAACAGAGCGACAGTTGGATCCATAGAGGACACGTTGCGTAGTGCGGGAGTTCAGATCCTTGTTAGATACACGACGTGCGCATGCAAAGAAAGTGCCATAAGAGAGATGCGGGGACGAGGAGGCAGATGGCAGGCGGATGTGGAGGAGGATGAGAGGGTGGGGTCGGGTGGAGTGGGAGGGGTGGGTGGGGTGGGCAGGAGTTAGGGGGCACGGTGAGAGATATTATCAATGACTTGCAGGAGGCAGATGGGCTAACGGCGCGGAAGGGCTGAGGCGGGAGCAGGAGTGAGAGGATGAGATGGAGAGAGCAGGAGTGAAGGAGACGGAAAGACTAGTGACAGGAAGGGGAGCGGGAGCGGGAGCGGGAGCGGGAGAGCGGGGGAGGAAGGTAGAGTAGGGGACTGTTCAGGGAGGGTTTCATCTCATGGATTTGTCGGGGAACCAGTTTCTGACAAAAGAGGGGGTGGGGTAGTACAATATGTACGGGTAGGATAGAGGATTCATGAGGCTGCTCAGTATCTTTCAGGGGTGAATGAATATGGAAAATAGGGGTACTTATCGAAGAGTCTTATTGTTAGGGTGGGGTACTATGACACATACGTATGACGATAAAAATGTAATGAAATAGCACGGCACCCCACCCCTCCACCATCCATATGTAGGGGTGGGGAATGGAGAATAGGGGTACATCTGGCAAAGTGACCACGAAAAAGGAGGGTGATAGAGGGTAAAAGATAGGGTGGGCAAAAAGATTGCTGGGGTCCGTGCACGTGGGAAAGGGTCAACCAGGAGGGGGTGTAGGGTATCAACAGCCGTACTTTGAAGTAGTGACCGATAGGGGTCCTCTCCTATTCCTGTGAATTTCCTGGGGGTGGGATACATGTTGGTGGGGTATGCAGACATCAAAAGGGGGTTCTTTTACATAGATTTAGGTGGGTCCTCACCAATGTGGTACGGTGGGTTATGAGAGAGGGTGGGTGTAGCTTTGTGGTGTCATCGAGGGAGTCCAGTACAAAGTGCACATCAACCTGGCAGTTCCTTCTTGATGGGGTTGAGTAATCTTTTACTGAGCCTCTCGGCCATTCCGAAGTTCCGTGCCACTGTGACGGTGACTCGTGCCGCCGGCACTGACAGTGACCGGCCCCGCCGCGGCCGGCGCGGCCCGGCCCGGCCCGGCCGGACCGTCGCCGGACCGTCGGACTTCCGGCGTGACTCAGTGTCTAGCCTCAGATCAGATACTCGGATACCCTACGGTCCGACCCGGGCGCGGCCGGGGGGGGGGGACCGGGACTCGGATGATTGAGCGGCCGGCGGCGCCGGGCCGGGGGCCGCCGGGGGGCGGCGGCGCCGGCACTGCCGAGTTACTAAATTGAGTAACTTAAACTCGGAGCTCCGCGGTCGGAGGGGCCGAGGCCCTCCAAATTACAGTCGGAGCGGCCCCACGGCAGCGGCCGACTCGGGGCCCCCGGTCTTGAGTGACTCAAAGTTCAGCCGCAAGTTAAACTTGAATCTTTTCTTTACTCAAAGTTAAGTGAAAAATCAGTACGAGGACAATCCTGATCGGACACCTAGTGAGGCCCGGCCCAGCGCTCAGTCATGGCGTCATCGAGTCATAGTTGGCTGGTTGCTGACTGAGATGACTCACCGAGTCTTTACTCAAAGTAGTCATGAGCCCTGGCCCCTTCACTCTCAAGTGCGTGCTCTCATAGAGAATCCCCGGTGGGGTGGTCCGATGGGGTACGGTCTCAGGGAACCGTGGGGGTACCGGGTAGGATCAATGGGGGTGGGGGTTGAAATCGGAAGGGGTAGCACATTTTACTAGATCTCAATAATTCAGTCAAGTTGACTTTCGTACCCACTACTAGTAGCTTCTACTGCCCGAATATACCTACCCCCACCTACCCCCCGGGCCACCCCACCCCACCTAATCATCCTAGCTGCAAAAGATTACGATCTGCACTCGATACCCCAACACCCCCAATATATCCTTTGTAAGTACCGGTGTGACAATCACACAGTCACCCCCTGAACCCCACAGACATGAAAGGTACCCACCTTATGTACCGGATATCTTCCAGTAGATGGTAGGGGTCATCATGGAGGGTCTTAAATACTACCGGTTCTATTCACTGACTATAGTGGGGTACATTTGGAGGCCATGACAACCCTACCCCACCGGTACGGCACAACCCAATCCATCAACGACGCCTCACCCAATCCCGAGTCCGCAGCCTGCAGACTTGCACCTGGCGATCCACAACTCCAGATACCCCTCCTTTGTAACACACTACCCCTACATTGCAACACATGCATAGCAAGATCGCTGATTCATCAATTGTGCTTCTATTCAATGGAACAGATTGCTGCCCCATATGGGTGTTTTGTGAACCCCTGACCCTACCTGTTGCAAGAAGCACCCATCACTTATGTACCCCCACCCCCCCAACATCAATACAGTTACCCTGGAATGACTTTTGTAGCTTAGCCAGCGGCAATACCGGTAGTGACCCCACCCCCAGGCCCACATCTCACCCCAGGGTGGCTGCGTTACCACCCTCTCTACGTCCCTTTACCACCCCACCCATTTACCCACTATCCACTACCCTACCGAGGTGCTGTCTCCATCTTTTCCCTTCCTTTTGTTCCTCCTCCCTTTGTTATTACTCTGTCCTATCCGTCTTCGTTCAACACAGCTTCAGATCTTAACATGAACACCCATGCTTCCTCTCAGCGCCATCCTATTCCTCTTTCTACCCACTGACCTCCTTCACTCATCAGCAGTATGCTCGACAGCCCTATCCTGAAATGTTTTCACGAAAATCCATGGACTTTTCCCTCGGGGCCTCCACTTGCGCTTGCAATTTTGGTCAATGCCTTATCTGACTCATATTGTGCTTGTTTCACCTCTTGCAAAGAGAAGAGCGTTCAAATGAAGTAGGATGTCTAGAGCGGTTGATGGTCAGAAATAGTCTTCAATGCAACATACACCAAGACAGCGGCATAGCATTAGGGGCTGTATTTGCTGTTGATGTCAAGAGCTCGATATGTTGTCATGCTAGTCAACACACGTACTGAATCGTTTTTAGCAGGATCAAAGTTATCTTCATCTCCCTCTGATTTCAATTCCTTCCTCAAACTCGATTCATTCATACCTTACTGAATTGAACCCACGCGCTCCATTCCTACTCTAGCAATATGCCATTCAGCAACAAACTCCTCGCTGATGAAGAGGAGATGAGCATGAAATTTCGCCGGACAACATCCGCCACTCAAAACGCGACAGCGACACAAGCTCGGCTCCAACTGAAGGAGGCTTTCAAGGTCTCATTTCCCCAATCTACACTTCAGCGCCACATGCTCATGTTGCCGTGCAGGAGATCGACAAAGATTCCAGCGGGGCTATCGATCAAACAGAGTTTCAGGACGTCTTGAAGTACCTGCAGATACAGCTACAAGACCCGCTCAACGACGCAGACACAGTCTTCGGTGAGAGAGAACCTTGTCTCTGAGTGTATCCTGACGAGGGTAACATCAGATTACATGGACCACAACGGGAATGGTCTGATCACGTGCGATGAGTTTCTCAACACGTTCGACGACTTGATCCACAAGAGAGAAGCTGTCGGGCACATGGACGTGGACGATGTTATCAAGGACACTCTGTGCGGGATCCTCTCTCGAGCCCGGGAAGAGCGAGGGCATGTGATCCAGGCGTTCATGATTGCTGGGCAGAACATAGAGCATAACGACGAGGGATTCGGGAAGGGATACTGGGGATGCAAATGGAAATTCATTCTTTTCGACAAGATCTACGCTAAACCTGTGGTGGACGGAAGTCTTGTGCCCGTAAAGCAGAGATACTCGTTCCTGAAGGAGAAGCTTGAGTTGATTCAGGACCAGAAGTACTGCCCTTGGCTGGAAGCGATGATGGAGTCGGAGGAGCGATTCAAGAAAGAGATCATCAAGCACGATGTACTTGCTGCTTGTCCGTGCCCGGGGAGATGCGCTGACGTTTCATGGCAGGTGGTTCGAGACTTCTGCAAAGAATGGCTGCGACACCTGAACGAGCTACATCCTGACAGGATCAGCTCTGAGACTCCACAGGACAAGGCTGGATGAAGCTGCTGGATCGCAGGAGTTCCGTGAGATTCAGCAGATGTGAAAACTTTGTACTCAATTTGTAGACTAGAAAATTACAAGGCAAGTGATAAGAAGCTTATGGAAGCTCAGCAAAATCAGCACACAAGAAGCAACAAGTAGCAAAGAATAGCTCCTACTATACAAGAAGATACTTTCGTCCCTCATCTCCTTCAGATGAAAGCCCACCCGATGCTCTTCGCCGGGTGCATCTTCGTCGCGCTAACAGCTGCACCCTGACCGCCTCCGCCTGTGATGAGTTGAGGAGGCGAAGAGGGAGAGAGCGAGGATGAGCAAGGAAGGGGGCAGTTGATGAGGAGGATGGCGAGGAAGAGGGGAGAGAGGGCAGAAGGGAGAAGCAGGAGCGAGAGGAGGAGGAGGAGCGGGAGGAGAGCGAGGAGGAGAGCGGAGAGCAGGGCAGGAGGGAGAAGCAGGAGCGAGAGGAGGAGGAGGAGCGAGAGGAGGAGGAGCGAGAGGAGGAGGAGGAGCGGGAGGAGAGCGAGGAGGAGAGCGGAGAGCAGGGCAGGAGCGACCTGAATGTGCAACCATGTCGGCCGTGAGTACAGGCGGTGCTGATCCACGACTGAGAGCTCGAGGAACCCGACCGAGGCGGGCCTTGGCGTCTGCTGGAGAAAATCAGAGGAGGCTGGGGGAGAGGTTGGTAGGCGCTCTTACCGAAGGAGCTGCCGCTGGAGTACTGCGTGAGCTGCTCAACTTGTAGCGCGTACTCCTTCTGCGAAAACATCAGACGGCAGCAAGGGTCACACATCGGTGGCGGTGGGGGGGGAGGGAGGGAGAGACTGGTGAGAAGGGGAGGGGGAGGATGGGTAGGAGGAGGATCCGTGGGGACTGGTGAGGAGGGGAGGGAGAGGAGAAGGATAGGTAGGAATAGCAGGGGGATTGAGACGAGAAAGAGCGACAGTTTGAAGGGAGGAGGAGGAGGAGGAGGACAGTACGGGTGGATGTGAGGAGGAAGGGCGGGGGTCGAGCTGAGCACCTGCTGGGAATCTCGAGAGATCCATGACTCGCTGCGGAGGTTGTTGTCATGGTCCGAACCATCCTCGTGTTCCTCCTGCAGGATCCTCTCGTTCGACGCCGCTCCTTCCGACATCGACGAGCCCTTCCCTTCCTCTGTGCTCCGTTCACTGTACGGGCTGTCCCTGCCCTGAAAATCTTTGCCGCTGGGTGTGTCCGCGACAGAAAGCGCCTGGAAGGAGGAGAAAAGCTCAGACTGGAGGACAGCATTCTCATCTAGCTCACCGATTCCTCGGAGATGGCATGTGTAGACAACTTCTCTGTTGATCGTGTCAGCGCATGACAAGGAAGGGAGGAGGCAGAGCAACCTAGCATGCTGCTCGAGATCCTTGGTGACTTGTTAGACTGGTGCATCTTGATCGGATTCCGAAACAAGCAGCAACCCGCCTTCTCTGCACCAGCAGAAAAGAAACCATCAGTCCCAGGAACTTGGGGTGAAGCGAGAAAGCTACTTGTCAGATCGTCGTCGTCCGAGTCGAACGCTTCATCGCACGATTTTCCCTCTTGCAAGGGAAAGAGGGGAGGAACAGAGTTGCTGCAACTGAAGATCTGATTGCAAGACAGGGGAATGAAATCTGCAGAAGCCTCCGGCATCGGTTTGCGAAATTCTGGCACAGCAGTCGCTTCGAACTCCTTATCGTCCGCCTGGGATCCATGTCAAGACAACTCTTCTCTGTCATAACAACATCATCCTTCTACCTGTAGCCCCTCAATGAAAGAGATCGAGTCCGAGTCAAAGTCCTCTGCTTCTCCTTCCACATCCAACTCTGACGAAGGGTCAGGATCCAACGATGCCTCTCCGTCCATGCTTTGCAGCTCGACGTCCAGCTCTTGCACTTGCGCTTGCCCCTTGCTGCTAGCTTGCTCGAAGATAGAGACCCCGTCGCTGAGGCCTTTCATGTGGGTATAGGTCACGATATAGTTTTCGTTGAGCCACTTAGTGACGTGATCGCGGCTCCTCTCGACGGTCTGCATCCTCTTCCTCAACTCCTCTTGCCTTGCTATGCGCTGTAGAGCAAGGGCTGCCTTCGCCCTCTGCAAAATCTCGTCGTTCCCATTGCGGCGCAGGTACTGCAAGAAAATCATCAGCATTTCAAAGTAAAACCTCCGATCGTTACCATCGAGGTGAAGGAGCTGTGGATTCTACCCGACGTCGGCGCAACGACTTTCTGGCTCGCAGAGGTCAAATCTGAGTCCACGCTCTCCTCCTCGCTGTCGTAGAGATGGATGCCCAGCTCTCCAATGTCCGGCTCGTCTTTCGACGGCCTGTACATAGCTTCATCCGCCCCCCCCCGAGCGATATCGTCTTGGAGAGGCATCACACAAGAGACTATGGCAGCAGCCTCCTGCAAACACAGCGCGACTCTTCCCACAAGCTCCTTCGCTCTACAGATTCAATCCGACGACAAGGATTGAACTGTCCGAGCTTCGTTTTCACTGCTGGGTATCAGGTAACCATAGGGCGGTGTCTGGACGAATGGCGTCAGGTCACAGCAGTTTAACTTTGCGTTCTGACCCAGCTCTCAGGCTGTATGCTCGTCGCCTATCCTATCTCTGTCTCTCAACCCCCTCTCAACATTTCGACCCAGTTTGCACTTTGTCGACTACCCAGGCTCTCTTTCAGCCGCCTCATTCTAAGGTCACTCATAGATCACGGTTCACACTGTAACTCTTCCCCCCATTCTATCGTCTCTCTCGCTGCTTCCTCGTCCATTCTCGACTGAGTCTTCGCACTCCACTCTCGATGACTTCCTCCCAGTTTTATCTTCCTCCTCACTGGGGCTCTCAGTCAGTTCCTCCGACAGGGCCTGGTGCCCGGCTTCCTCATCAGCATCAAGTTATCTTAATCTCTCGCTCGATTCCTTCATCCTCCTCCTCCTCCTCCCTTCCTCACTCCTCTCCCCTCCTCTCCTTCTCCGCTTTCTGCATGACCCTGCTCCCTTTGTCTGCATAATCGTTTCCTCTCCCAAGTAGTTCAGGTTTTCCGTCGTGGGGTGCACGTTTGACTAGCCTCAATGAAACTTATGCAGAATTCTATATTTTATATCTGTAAATTTGAAATATCAAATTCAATATTGAAATATTTAGCTAAAATTATTCACATGTAGCACCATCCAGTACTTTTTAAAAATCCATTTGGAGATCCAATAGTATCGACACCCCCACCCCACCCCACCCCACACGTATGAGAAGCGGTCCGAACTCACCCACCACCCCTACACTCATCTTGATGATTCTCTTAGAGGACCCCTACTCTTGTCTTCAAAGTAAACATTCCCATGCACCTTCACCTTCGGAGTACCCCCACCCCATCCTTTGTCGGTGTGTACCCCCACCCCCCCATTTTTCATAGGTTCCTAGGCGGCGCAAGAAGCCAGGCAAACCATGTACTACTACTACTCGTATCACTGATGTTGAGTGAAATATTTCACATCCCCTTTTTGAAATATATACCAACAATTTCAAATTTTCAAGAGAATCAATGAAATCTTTGTATTGGATACAGAAAGGATCAGAGGGGGGATGAGGGAATCAAGGAAAGAGGGGGATGATGTTGATGCGTAGGAGGGCGATGATATTTTGAAAGTTTGACAGCTGGTCATGGTAGCAGGGAGGGAGGAGGGGGCGGGAGGGAGGAAGCTGGGGGGAAAGGGAGGCCAAGCGCTCCATGCTGTGAGGCCCTTGTCAAGGATGTCTCCCTCCGACAAGAAGACGTCCAGCTCCTCTCCTGCCGACAAGAAGAGACCCTCCTCATCCTCCTCCCCTTCCAGGAAGGTTGCTGCTGTAGGTTCTTTGGCGTCCCGGGTGCAGAGTGCGGAGAAGAAGGTGAAGATGCATGGGGAGGGAGAAAGACCAGATGGATCAGCGAAACATGCAAGAAAGCATGCTGCGAAGGGAGGGGAGCAGAAGGATCGGGGCGACGAAATCAGGATGGACGAGGATCGGGTGCTACGGGACTCGATCGATCAGTTCTTCAGGAGCCACATGCAAGGATATATACAAGAGATTGAGAAGAGCCATGGCGGACAGAAAGATTCTTCAGCACAAGAAGAGGATCCATCTGTCGGGTACAGCCATTCGCGGGTCATGGTTGAGAAGCGATGTTGCTGTAATGATAGCGTCGTGAGTTTCACATGCAGGTGTCGAGGCCGTTGGAGCAGGAGGAGGGAGATTCGGACCATTCTGCTGTCAATCGCAAGGAAAGTTTCCTCCCTTCAAAGTTTCTGAGGTGATGGAGAGTAACTTTGACGACCCAGCAGGCGCTTACTGAGCAGGAGAAGAGCGATACCGTGGACTCGCTGACGATACGAGCGTTGCAGATGCAGGAAGGCGGTGGAGATCTCAAGTCTCATGTCGTTGACTATGAAGCAGATCAAGGAGCTGAAGCGGCAGCATGTCATAGAACTCCAGCATGCGCGTCTGGGGTCACACGGTGGAGGACAGAACGGGGTATCAACGCGTGACATCGAGAAAGCGAGGAAGGAGATTGGCGATCATTACTCCATGAAGCTGCAAGAGTATCACCATGTCGTGTTGATGATGGGAGCCTGCCCTTGCCCTGATGCCTGCGGTCTGCAGAACATTGAGAGCAAACTGATGGACGCTGAGAAGAGTGTTGAAGGAAGGCTGAAGACCTTCGAGTCCGAGATGATACGTCTCAAAGCAGAGCTGCTACAAGTGACTCAGGAGAAGACTGAGCTGCAGAAGGAGCTTCAGTTGCAGCTGTCTGCGAGCAATCACTTGCAATCCCACCTGCAAAGGTTTCGGCGCTGATGATAGAGGGAAGGAGGAATTTACGTGTGCGTTTCCCAGCATGAAAGAGCAAAAAGAAAGAACTCATGATGCCATCGAGACGATCAGGAAAGAGCTCGCCGATGAGAAGCGAGCGCATGCTGCAGCTCGACAAGCAGTGGCTGAATGCAGGCAAGTGATCAACGAGATTAGAGGCAGTCAGGAGAAAGGAGGCCCGGTCGATCATGCTGAGACTGTCCAGCGCCTGCAGGTTGTGGGAGCGATTTTGATTCCCCTTTCGTATTTTGATACCTCTCGGCAGGAAAAGCTTCACAAGCTCGAGGAAACCTGTCTGAATTTGAGGATGGAGAAGGAGAGTTTGCAGCAGTCCAGCCAAGAAGCTTGCTCTCGCGCTTCCGCCCTCACGCACGAAATTGACCGACTGAATGTGATCCCCTACCAGGTCGCTTGCTCCTCATGGAATGAACGTGACTCGCAGGAGCGGCTGGAGGATCTCAAGTTGGAGATCTACGAGAAAGACTCTAGGATACGAGCTTTGGAGGGTGAGAAGGAGGAGCTGGAGAGTCGCAACGTCCTCGCCAGCGAGAGGTACAAGAGCATGGAAGGGCTGCTGGCAGAGAGGACCAAGCAGCGAGACGACGCTTACCTGCGGCTGTCAACCTCGAGTGTTCATGTCATGCAGCAAGTCGCCTTGCTGAGCAGCTGACGTGGCCTGGCAGAGCGAGGGGACGCGACATGGGTCGGAGGCAGACAAGTCAAGGATGGAGTATCTGGAGAGGGAGCTCCAGAGTCAGACCTCTCTCCTGCACTCCTGCCATCAAAAGCTCCAGTCGGCGGAGTCGAGCGTAGAGCAGCTCACGAAGCTGAACAGGATCCTGCAAGCAGAGCTGGCGGCACAACACGAAGCTCAGGCCCATCAGCTTGTCCCAAGAGAGGAGGAGAGGATAAGTCTCGTCGAGGTGAGCAATGCCATTGTCGAAGAGGGAGAGGCTCATTTTGCACTTGAAAAGGAGGGCCGAGAAATGCTCACTGCTGCTCCCCCCGCCAGGCATGCACAATCCTTTCCTTTGCTCTGCTGACCTTGGAGCAGAGAAGACGGCGTCTCAGTCATGAGGGAAGCAGAAGACAAATACAGCCCATGCTCCTCGCTAGCAGAGAAGATTCAGGTCCGCGATATGAAGCTGTCGCCTCCTCCTCACCTGCCTTGCAGAAAGAGCTCGAGGAGACAAGGGAGAGGATCGACCGGAACATCGCCTACATGTCCTCCAGCAGGAAAGAACGCGCAAACGAAGTCGAACCTGTTCCTTTAGCACATCCTTCGTCTTTCGATCCGTTGGAGACAGAGAGACTGGTCGAGGAGGCAGGACGACAGGAGGCCAAGTACCACCTTCCTGCCGAGAGAAGCAGAGAGTTGCTGAGTCCAAGACGACTTCACTTCAAGAGCGACTCGTCATGGAAGAACTTGAACGTAGACGCTCCCCTCCAGGTTACAAGTCGCAGCTTCCTCCTCTCTCCATCTCACTATTTTGATCAGAGCCATCACTTCAAGTCGATAGAAGATCAGATGAAGGCAGAAGTTGAGGCCGAGCAAGCGTGAGACGTCTGACGGTCATGGACGGCACTCAGTCTCACCTGCTAGCGCCAGGTACAAGAGTCTGCCTGCTCTTTACTTTGGAGATACGTCGCATGATGTCACAATCAAGAACATGTAAGACGCGTCCATGTAGCTTTGTGTCAGCTGGACTATCAGCTGACAAGGGCGAGGAGTCTTCTGATCTTGTACAACAGCCTGCCGGATGTGTTCGAGATGTGGGAGGAGTTGGCGATCTCCTACAGGCACAGGCTGAGGTTCGTTCAGGCGCTGGGCCGAGAGGACGGGGGGTGAGGAGGCACGAGAGTTGAACCTTCCATCGCTGACTGCGTGCGAAGGCGATACTGGGAGGAGGAGAAAGCGAAGCTCGTGGTGGACGAGAGCCGGTCAGAGTCAAGGCAGGGATCCGTTCCCTTCTCAATTCTTTGCAGGCTGCTGGAGAAGATGAGAACGCAGATAGGACGGGAGATGACGCTGATCCTGAGGCGAGAAAAATGCCTCCAAGAGTCCCTCCAGCCTATCGATGTCCAGCAGCAACCCAGCAGAGGCGTGTCAAAGGCATCATCCGTCCTCAAGAGTCAGGAAATCGTCCGAGCTGAGAAGAAGCGACGGGTAGTCTCTCGACCTCTCCTAGCGAGTCGTGAATGACATCTGTTGAATTTCTTGTTCCATGTGCAGGAAAAAGAATTACAGCGGGCTACCCAGCAGGTTTTGGAGGCAACGACCAAGTTCAAGGCGCTCCATGGCAGGCCAATCCTGTACGATTGATCATCCTCCAGTACTTCCCAGCTCCTGACGGACGTGGGCTGCAGGTTCCGAGGCATGAGGTACACCGATGTGATGCGATGGCAGCACGACCAACAACTAGAAAACGACAAGAGAGAAAAGTCGCGAGATGCCAGCAGGAAGGCAAGCAGGGCGTTCTAAGTATGCGTCGTTGCTAGCTCCCGAAGGCTCATTGTACTATATACATAACTGACTCTATCTCTACCTCATCCCTCTCCTCCTGTAGCCATTTCCTCCTATCAAGTTGTCAATATTCTTGCTTGGAGCCTGACTGACCGGCAGTTCGACGTTCAAGTAACCCAAAAAAATGCTGGATTTGACTTGCTTTGACTTTTTTTTAATTGAGATGTCGGTTTCTTGAAGGCTCAGCGAAAAAGAATGGCGGGTGAAGAGAGGGGACGGGGAGATCGAGCGAGAGGAGGAGGAGGAGGAGGAGGAGGAGGAGGAGGAGGGGAAAGGAGAGCTGCTGCAGGAGCCAAACGACAGAGCTTCAGGGAAGCAAGGAGACGGACCTCCTCCATGTCTGGATCGTTTTCGGGTTCAAGCTCGGAATCAAGCTCCAGCTCGCCGGCAAGAGGAGCAAAGAAGAGAGCATGGCCGATGACAGAGGAGGAGAGGCGGGCGGAGAGAATCGCTAGGAGGGAGAGGAGGAAGAGGGAGAAGGAAGAGATCGTGCAGAGCGATTCATCCTCATCGGAGGATGATGACCCCGTAGAAGCTGAAGCCCTGAAGGAAATGGAGGGGGAGAGGAAGCAGAAGAAGGAGGGAACCATTCCCCTCAAGGCGCGTTTATCATCAGCAATGATGGCCTATCCCTTCGTCGGGCAAGTCGCCATGCTGTTCGCCGTGCTCGCGCTGTCCTGCGTCTTGTTTGCTTCCTACGATCGCACTGGCCCCGGGGTGGCAGAGGAGGATATGATGTTGGCTCTTAACCTGTCGAGCTACTCGTCGAGGTCGGACGGATACCTCGGGAGGCTGACGTACAGGGCAAGGGAGAGCTTCCAAGAGCTGGAACAGGTCTGGCAGTGGCTCGATGCCGTCATCGCACGTCGAGTCATTGATGGGGAGCCGACGCAGCAGGGAGCGTTCTTACCCTTCTGGTGGACTTGTTGATAGCTGGAGGTGGGGAAGCTGAGCTGATGGCAGGGGAGGACGCTTCCTTCTCGTACAGTCCGTGCGGCTCATGCAACGGAGGGTGGACCCGGTGCCATGCCAAGACGGCGCTTACGTGGGCTGCTACCCAGAGCTGAGTCCTTCCAGGTGTGGAGATGGTTGACGAGAGAGGAGAACAGAGGAGAGTGGTGGTAGTGGTGGTGGTGGAGGAGGAGGCGGAGGAGGAGGAGGAGGAGGAGGAGGAGGAAGAAAACAGGAGTGGAGGACCAGAATAGAGGAAATTCGAGCATTGCAATGATGACGATAGAAGATAATGGAGGAGGAGGAGAGGAACAGAGAGACGAGAGGAGTGAGGGTGGGAGGAGCAAGGTGAATGACAAGGATCGACAGCGAGAGCAAGGCTCCCCTGAAGCTGGAGTCCTCCCTCACCCTCTCGGCCGACATGAAGTGGGGAGAGGCTCTTTCCTTTGCTTCTCTTTGAGCCCGACGGGCGGGGAAATCGAGGAGCAGTCAGGGGTCCCCGGATGCAACCCGGGCCAGGTAGATGGCGGAGTGCTGGGGCTGTGCTCGATCTCAGGTGGAGGGAACTCGAGCTATTTTGTGACCAACGAGGTAGGAGGGAGGGAGAGGAGGGAGAGAGAGGAGGGAGAGGAGGGAGAGAGAGGAGGGAGAGGAGGGAGAGAGAGGAGGGAGAGGAGGGAGAGGAGGGAGGGAGGGGAGGGAGGGGAGGGAGAGGAGTGGAGAGGATGGAGAGGAGGGAGGGAGAGGAGGGTTGCTAGTGACCTTGACCCTCCAGGCAACGGTCCGGTGTGGGCTCTGCGTCTACTCTGTGAGGGGGGGAGCTGGAGCTGCATGCAATCTATCGCTGAAAGTTTCGATGCCTCCTCTCTCAGCTCTGCAAGCCAGTGGGTCAGCCCGTCCGAGCAGCTCGATGTAAGTGCCACTACCTCCTCCTGCTCTCCTCCACCTGGCTCACTTGCTCGCTCGCCTGCCCTCTCCTCTCTCGCCTCCATCCTCATCCTGTCCTGAATCATCCGTTCGTCCTTGCCCCTACACTCTCTCCTGCATTTCCTCTCCTGGTCCGCTTGCACTCCGTCACTCCTCCTCCTCCTCCTCCTCCTCCTCCTCCTCCTCCTCCTCCTCCTCCTCCTCCTCAACCTCCTCCCTCCCTCCCTCATCCGGATGTCAGGTCGCCGGCTCGATATCGTTCGCCTCGCAGCATGGAGGGTGAGAGCAGTCGAGCTGAGCCACCGACTGTTGATCTCTTCACCTTTTCAGGTACTTCGCCCTACTACCTCGAAGTCACGGAGCGGCTAGTTTTGTGCTCAAGAAGCTGAGGGATGGAAGATGGATCGATAGGTCAACAAGATCCCTAGTGGTT